CCCCCCCCTCCTCCGCCAGCCCCCTCCCCCGTGCCTGGCCGCCCGTCTCTTCCTCTCCTTCCCTCCGGCCGCTGCTCCCGCCTGACCAATGCTCCGCTCGGTGTCCGCCTTCTCGACTGCCCGCTCGGCCGCACGCGCGGTCTTCGCCGCGCCGCGTGCCGCGACCGCCGTGCGCGCCTTCAGCGCCTCCACTCCCCCGGCCTCGGAGGAGGGCGTGCGCGACTCGCCGGTCTGGCAGCTGGGCAAGATCAACCACATCGCCATCGCCGTGCCCAACCTCAAGGACACCTCCTTTTTCTACCGCGACATCCTGCGCGCGTCGCATGTCAGCGAGGAGCAGGTATGTGTGTCTGCCCGGGGCCCCACATGCCCGGCGGTGTGGCCATCCTTCATGGGCTTCGGCCTGGCGCCGGGTCCGTGACGTTCCGGTGCTTGTCTCTGACCCCCTTTGCGCCTGTCCTGCCCCGCTTCGTCCCCCCTCGTCCCTACCCCTGTGCCCCCAAAACACACACACACACACACACACACACGGGCAGAACCTCCCCGAGCATGGCGTCACCACGGTTTTCATCCACCCCGGCCAGGACAAGTCCCAGACTCTGATCGAGCTGCTGCACCCGTACCCGGCCGACTCGACCACCTCCCCGATCAGCAGCTTCCTGGCGCGCAACCCCCAGGGTGGCATCCACCATGTGTGCCTCGAGGTGAATGACATCCAGGCGGCCTGCGCCTCGCTCCGCGAGAAGGGCATCCGCCTGCTGTACGACGCCCCGAAGATCGGTGCCCACGGCAAGCCGGTCATGTTCATCCACCCGAAGGACTGCAATGGCGTGCTGGTCGAGCTGGAGCAGGAGTAACCCCCCCCCCCCCCCCTCCCTGCTGCTGCCGTGGACGGGGCACGGCCCTCCCTCTCCCGGGGGATGGGGACTCGGTGCAGGAGCCCCGCTCCCCGTGCCGTGTGCTCGGCACGGCGTCCTCCCTCTGGGGGCGGGCCTCCTTCCCCTGGTTGAGGCGTTTCCCTGGGGCTGGGTTTCCCCTGCCCGCCCCCTGTTCCGGGCCCTTGGCTTGGGGCAACCGAAATACAGTGCTCCTTCTCCTTGTGGTGTTCCTCGGCTCGTGTCTTTTGGCTCTTCTTCCGTGCCCTCCCCGGATGGTCCTCCGCCCGAGCGGGCGTTTTGTCACTCCCACGGGCTACTCCTTTGCCTCGCTGCCGCTCTGTCTCCCGGCCCCGCCCCC